TTATTGATGGCAAAGACACTAATGATGGAGTTAATGTTCCAATGAGTCAAAGTGAACCATGGACGATTTTTGCCCACAAGAAGCCTCAGAAAGGGCGGATAGCCTATAATCCACGAATCATGAGGCCTCCACCACTTACAGGAGATACTATATGTATGAAGCTAATGTCTTGGAATGTAAACGGGCGGAGAGCGCTGCTGAAGTTAGAGGGGTTCTCTGCTCTTGAGCTTACTAAAAGGGAAAACTTTGATGTATTGTGCTTACAGGAAACTAAACTGCAGGCAAGATATAATACTTCAATAGCATGTTAGCTTTTTGTTTCTTAGATTTAACCACGGCATTCATTTTTAATTTGGTTAAAATAAAGTGATATTTTCTATTCAGTTTTAATTTTTTGTCTGATTTGAAGGCTGAAGCATAGTCTTAGACTCTTAGCAGTCACATTGAGGTATGATTTATGACAAATCCCATATCAGTGGATAAGTGAAATCATATTTTCCTTTTGCCTCACAAAACCGAGCACCAAAATTTTTCTCGTTTACTAGCCCAGCACATGATTGTATTTGGATGCACAAGCATATGGTACTGAATTGTCTTCAGATACTGTATATGTGCACACCTGCAAGTGTGTGCATGTGTGTGTGTGGATATGATTCGTAAAAAGATAGTAAGCATTTGAGGGTTGCCATTTTTATCTCTATATTGAGTGAATTTGATATGATTTGTAAAAAGGTAGTAAGCATTTGAGGGTTGCCATTTTTATCTATATATTGAGTGAATTTTTAAATCTTGGAACAGGAGAAAGATGTTGAATCAATCAAACACTCTCTTTTAGAGGGATATGAGAATAGCTTCTGGACATGCAGTGTTTCCAAACTTGGCTATTCTGGTACAGCAATTATATCCCAGGTATGCACATTCTTTTTAGGAGAATTTGAAGTGTCTTTTAATTCTTTGATATGATAGCCTTGCTTGTTCTTATTGTTTTATTAAATATTAGAAGTTGTCAACAGATAAAGCCGCTTTCAGTCAGATATGGCCTGGGCATATCAGATCAAGATAGTGAAGGTCATCTGGTGACTGCTGAATGTGATACATTTTATTTGCTAAATGCCTATGTTCCTAAGTCTGGAGATGGCTTGAGAAGGCTGGTATTAGACTTTAAAATCTTCTTTCATGTCTCTCGCTACCTTTTTCTTGAAGAGTTCTTTTGTTTCTTCCTTTTGACTTCCTTGCTTTTAACTAGCCATACAGGATTACAGAATGGGATCAATCTCTTGGCAATTGCATGAAGGTAAGCCTGGCATATATCACTATTCAATTTTCTTTCTTTCTTTTTCCTTATTTTTATTTTTATTTTTAACTTCATCTCCCTTCTCTTTTTCCTCATGTTTTGTCCAGTATAGAATGTACTTTTTAAGATTCTAAAGAACTTCTGGTATGTATTCTACAGTGAAGGGGTTATCTCCAAAAAAACAGTTGTTTCATGCTTGGCATAATTAACTCTATGACATCAGTGAACTAAAGAATATAATATTTTTATACATTGAATGTGGATCCTTAGACTTGAGTTCTGGAATTTGATGGCCATCATCGTAATGTGGCATCAAACTAGTTATTTCACAAAGATAGTTTTCAGTTTGATTAACAAGAACAGATTATTTGTTATTTGCAAATTCTATCCATAATTTTTTTTAAAGTTTAGTCCTTTCTTTGGCCAATTTTGAAAGTTTACTCATTGGAATAGGAAAAACTTATCAGTGTTCTCTGGCTTTTAACCAGTTACACTTTCTTAGGTCATGAATATGTATGTGCTCTGAATCTGATCTCCCTTAAAGGGTTTTTAAACATATGAACTAGGTGACTAGATGTTTTTCTCAAAATAAAACATTTTCATTGTGCCTTTTGATTGCCAAACCCCAATGCTTAACATTTTTCTTATGCATGATGCAGGAGCTGGAAAAGTCAAAGCCTGTCATTTTGACAGGTGATCTCAATTGTGCACATGGAGAGATAGACATTTATGACCCTATTGTGAGTGTTCAAAAATTTTTATCTTTTTTTTTTAAAAAAAAAAAAAATGATATACCGATGATTATATTTGTCTAGTGCTGAACTGACACTGCCAAGTATTTCCAATCTAAACATTATTAAGTATTCTGAAAAGCTTTTATTATGTTAGCAAAAATTCCTATTTCTTCCCATATTTTTATCACTCTAAAACAAACTGCTTCACCAAGATTGATAGGCTTTTTGTTTATGATGTTATGAGTCATGCCATTAAATCCATGGATTGTTTTTTCTTTAATCTTTCGTGCCTGGATGCATTGGGCAATTGTGGAAACATATAGTGTAGCCACAGCTGTGCTTGCACTGCTTGCAGATGCTCCTTGCAAACTGAAGTAGTTAGACGTTATGTTTGTAATTTATTTTCATATTGGTTGCTTCAATTTATAGGGGAATAAGAGGAGTGCTGGGTTTACAAATGAAGAAAGGCAGTCTTTTGGAACAAACTTCATATCCCGGTGAATTGTGGATGCCTTTAGAAAGCAACATCCTGATGTTGTTGGCTATACTTATTGGGGTTATCGACATGGTGGCCGCAAAACAAATAAAGGTATACAACGTTTCACATCCGATGTTTTCTTCCACTTCCAGTTCCTATTCTTATTCATTTGAAAGGTTATCTGTCCCGATTTAGTTGAATAGTGTGATTTAGTCATTGTTTTCGAAACAGGTTGGCGGCTAGACTACTTCCTCGTCTCAGAATCCATTGCTGACAAGGTTTACGATTCATACATTCTTCCTGACGTTACCGGTAGTGATCATTGCCCTGTTGGCCTTATACTGGCACTTTAGTTAGACCGTAAGTATTTTAGTATTGTTCAGACCACCGGATGGAACCAACCCAAAAAACCAACTTCCAAGAAACTTGATGGTGCGGACAGTTGGAAAAAGCAGATGTAAGTGACCATTTTGCTGCCCTAATCCCAATGAGAAAAACTGCTTCACAGCTTAACTTACGCTACCAGCTCTGGTTTTCTTTCCCCCATGAACAAATTTATTAAATATTTTGCAAGGTCATCTCCCATATGGGAAGGGGGTATAACTTAAATTTCCAGAGATTTCATTGAAATTTTAATGAGTCAGTGTTTGTACAGTCTATTTTCCTGATTTGATATCGACTTGGTAGTAGTTTAAAATTTTCCCTTCAACAATATTTGACTCAATCAATCACAACATACATCCTAGGGATGTGATCGCGCTCTCTGGATATTTTTCTTATTGAAAAACACTAATCTCGTATCAAGATTGTGATAACCAACGATGTGGGGAGAGTCAATACTGAAAAACACTTATAATGTGTGATTATTCACTTGTCTGATGAGAATTTGATGTTATGCATGAAAGGAACACGGTAGCTCATTACCATTTTAAGATTCTGAATAGAACACTAACGGCAAAAAAAATAAACGAAAATTATTCATTTCATAACCTTGGTTGCAACTGGAGTAATTATAATTCAAAAATGTTTTGCCAACATCTCATAAGGACATAAATTATTTTGTAGTTTAAATTATATCATATTGTAAAACACAAAAAAGAGCAGTTGATTAATATTGAGGTTGAAGCTCCTTTTCTATGGTTAAAAATTAAAAAATTATTTTTTAATTTAAAGTGATTTAAATTATAAAATAATAACTTTTAGGTTGCCAGTAATCTTTTGATATTAGACTTATTTTAATTTAAAAACTTTAATTTTATAAATTTAATATAATTTAAATTACAATAAAAAAATTTTAAAATTTTTTTATTTTACAATTTAAATTACAAATCCACATGGTTATGAGCTTGTTTTACTCGACAAGCATGTTCTGGTTGTACTTTGGCTTACGTGGAATCAGTTTGCTTCGGTGGCAGGACATTGTTGGTTGACGCCAACACAACTCTAAACGACACGGTTTAGAGAAAGCGTTCGGCTTCTTCCATGTTAACACAAACAGAAATTTCACAGAATTTTGCGAAGCAGACCGCCATGACAGCTCGGAAAAGAGCTTCAGCGACGGCGACAACAACAGCGGCCGCTGCAGACTCGAGGCGAGCTGCAGCAGGCCATAAATCCCCGGAAAGCACCTCTTCTGATCTGCCGATCGCGTTGCCAAAATGGGGAGTAATCGTGAAGCTTTCTCTTTTATTCTCAATCCCATACTTTTACTTCCTCTTCTACCATTACAAGATCGAACAAGGGTTGAAGAGATCGATCCTTATCAATGCTGGACTCAGTCTGGCCGGCTTCTTTGTTACTCTTAAGATGATACCCGTGGCTTCTAGATACGTTCTGAGGCGCAGCTTGTTTGGGTACGATATCAACAAGAAGGGTACCCCTCAAGGAACTGTTAAAGTGTGAGTCCAATTTCTTGTCATCCTTTGTTTCATATAGGTTCTGATTCATTTGGGGAACTGGGTGTATGTCAGTTTTGCAATTCCATTTCGATTAATAAATTGGGTATGGGTTTTGATTCCAATTCAAGAAATGGGTTCTTGTTTAGGATTCTTTTTCTCATCAAATTCGTTGGCTTTTAAGGAGTCATTAGTTCTACTATGCTCATCAGTGCTAACCGTGCATTACTTAGATTCTCAGCTGCCACCTGCATTGTTCAATCAAATAAATATCTCACCTTTCTTATTTTACTTTCTGTTTCTTAAATGTCAACATCATTATCACATGAATTAATAAAATTTCCCATCTGTTAAATTCTAAATTTTCATATTTATCTTTTAATCGTTACAGTTATATATTAATTATCTGTTTCTTTTTCTAGCTTGCTTTTTAGGGTTGGTAGATGCTAAAATCTCTTCTCCATCCTTTATCAAAGTTCTTGAGATTCAGGGGGACTTGTTTTCATTCAAATTTTCTTTAGCTTAAGTGAATCAAAGATGCATTACATTTTAGATTTTCACTTATGTTGTTAGACCACTGCATATGTTCTGATAGACTTCATCTGCATAACTGATTAAGTCCATGACAAACTCTCATATGAAAATCTACTTATTGATAATATTGAGTATTTGGCAGGCCTGAATCATTGGGAATTGTTGTAGGCATCATCTTCTTGGTCTTGGCAATCGTGTTCCAGTATTTTAACTTGACAGCAGATTCAAACGTAAGTATGAAAGGTATGTTATTGCTAGAAGTTCCCATCTTTTCGTTTTCTTTCTTTCTTATCCCTACTAAATCTTACACCGCTTAGAACTGGTTCAGTTCTAGGGTATCTACAAGAAAGTTTCAGAAAATTGAAAAACTACTGATGCCTGATACCAATTTTGAGGTGTGAATAGTTATTAGCTTTAATACACTTAGCTGAGCTCAAATAAAAGTTTTAGGATGATTCCCTTTCATAGTTTGGCTTTTGAGAAGTTTTGGCTTTTACTTCTTAAGTGAGGTTTCTTAAAATTCCTTCTCGGGGTCTTCCTTTCTACTCCTAATGGTAGTGCGCATCTCAAACGTTGAGGGGCCACCACAAACTGCTACAGCATAAACATAGGCTGGTAGTATGAAATGTCCCAAACTGCATAAAAGCTTATGTCTTCATATAGGAAGAACCTCCCAATAGCTCTCCTAGCCGCTGCATGCAACCTCTGCGAAAATACTGATATCATCGAGGGTTGTACTACTGTTTTCTTCAAAAGAAGGAAAAAAGAGACTCTACTTCTTTTTCTCGTAGCGCCTGATGCAGAGGGACCGCTCCGCAAAGATTCCCCCAATACCACTGTCATCAAAATCCTTCGTACGACAGCCCTGTCCTCTCTAGGCTAGGCTCCTCTGTTACATCAACTAGATCCACCTCCCACCGAAAAAAAAATTCCTTCTTTTAACCGGCCAATCCTAATTTCAAATAAAGCACTCTTCCTCATTTGTTTTTTCTTGCCTTCTTTATTAGTGAAGGGGATCCTCGAGAAAGCTCTTTGGCCAATTCTGTAGAATTTTGGCATATGGCGATGTTATTTCCAGCCAAACATGCGAAGCCAAGTTTCAATCTTATTTTTTTTTTTCTCGCCTGAGTACTTGTTGCCGCAGAGCTTGCATTGGACATTTTATCTATCAAATTTGGTGGCAAACTGCCAACAAGGGTCTGTTGGTTTTCTACTCAGTTGATTTGGCTGTCTTATTAGTTGCTGTCTTGAATTGGTTGGGAGACACAAAGGGGCTGTTCCAAAAGAGATGTTACAAACATGGTATCAGAGCCTTGATTCTGCCATCCGTGGGTGTGGGAAGAGGTGTCCTTTAGGTACATGCCAACTCTTTGACAAAAGGCGCTTTCAATATCAGTGAATTGGTGCTCCAGTATGGAATTGGGTCAAACCGGCGGTGAAACGTTTTTGAAAAAGTGTCATAGAGTTTCAGCTAGATTGAGACTAAAAGAGTTGTTAGCTAAGCCTTCGATCTTCTTTGCTTCTCCTTCTCTGTATAGGATCGATAAGTCATATCCGTTTTCCTATTTTTTCTTTTCGGCTGGTTTTCTAA